GGGGGGGGGGCAAGGCAACTACGAATGCTTGACATGGTATTTCAGCATGGATGGCTAAAATGATCTGACCATTTTAGTGTGTGTGGGCGCATGGAAGGAAAACGGTATAAAAACAGCATTTTCAAATTTATCCGGATTTATACAGACATTGATTTTGCGAGATTTTTCACAATTTAGTTGTGTTAACACGTCCCTAAACCAGGTATACAAGATAGGCAGTAACCATACTATTGATGGTAGGTGTAAATATAGTGACATTTGCTATCATATTCGTACACATGATAAAAATAAAAACACTGTCTATTCCCTTTGCACGATAGTTATATATTTCGATACTTATTTTAGTCGATTACATTAAGGTGTGGCTTAAAAATAATTCCTAAGAGAAATTGATGTCATATTGAAAGGCCGTAGTACATTAAAATCGCTCAACATGGCTACTTGTATCTATCCCTTAGGGACATTTATGAAGTTAAAATATAACATCTATGATACTTTATCAAGTTTTGACTTCAGCAATATATAAAAACCCATGATAATCTATTCTTGCTATAATATTTTAAAAGTAAAAAGTTAATAGAGATTTTGCACCATCACGTGCCGGCGCCCATAATACAGCTTGGGCTGCCTGTGATTAGATGGCAGAACAATAAAATCTCTTTTCTTCTCGGGAATTAAATTCTTTCTTATGTAGGACGACTGTATTTTACCAGCCATCTAATACAGCTGCCGTCACGTGGTGGTGCAAAGCCCCAAAAGATGACGGTCTTCAGGTGAGACAATTATATTTTCTGTCCGTCAACGTGAGCTCCTTCCCATGAAAACCCGCGCTTTTAATTTATTAACTAGTTCCAATAAGCTCAGTCACTATTTGGGTCTTGAGCAGCATTTTTCACTGGGTTTTTATCATCATCATTCACATCATCTTGTGTGGCCTTGGCTTCACTTGTTTTATCATTGTCTTCCTGTTGAATGGCATTGATCACGTGATGTTCATCGTTATTATCGGCATCATCATTCTCACCTTGTGTGGCCTTGGCTTCACTTGTTTTATCGTTGTCTTCCTGTTGAATGGCATTGGTCACGTGATGTTCATCATCAGCATCATCATTCTCACCTTGTGTGGCCTTGATATTTGTTTGTTTATTACTATCTTCCTGTTGAATAGCATTGGTCACRTGATGTTCATCATTATCATCATCATCATCATTCTCACCTTGTGTGGCCTTGACATTAGTTTGTTCATTACCGTCATCATGCTGCCCAGAGGTGGTATTCACGTGGTCATCATCTTCATTATCACCAGCAGCATCATAGCCACCACCATCTTGCTTAGACTCATTATCCGTTCGTTCAACACTTTCATCACTACTTGCATGCACAGCAGTATTATTTTTATCGTCGTGTTGTGTGCTTTTCACATCGGCGCCATTGTCATCAGCGCCATTTTCATTTGTTTTACCGTCGCCACCGTCTGTGTTGTTGTTTTGACCAGACTTTTCTGCAGGATCTTTGTTGTCTTCTGAAGGGGTACTGCATGGAGAGACAGTATTGTCCTGCTCCATATCTTCTGAGTCTTCTTCTACAGCACTTTCATCCTAAGATACAGCACCAAGTCGTCAGTACCAGGTGCAATGATTTGGCAATAAAAGGAAGTCCATGCAAGGGCTAAAACTTCAGTTTTCGTTGTTTATCGACATCTAAAACACCCTCTGGACTGATCTAAGTCAGGCCAAGACTAACTTACAGATCGAATTGGAATTTGGCGTGTTAGGCTTTGTGCAGGGAGGAAAACCTGAGAAATACCCTCGAATCAATCAAATTATGTGATGCCGAGTGCAGGAATCGAACTATGGGACCGCGTATAGGTGAGAGTAATATAGAAATATGATTATGATGAGTTGACTTCTCAACCCAAGAAATGGAAAGTGAGATCGACAAGCATTAGTAAGGCGCATAAGCATCACAAGCCAGAACATCATGTTGCATGTTCAGTGCTCAATAGCAGACGGAGACTGCTTATCTATACATCTACAAAATATATAATTCATGAAATATCGACAAATGTACGGTGTCAGATTGTATTTTTAAGTGTGAAATGTTTAGGCTAGACAAACGGCCCAACTGTTGCGCGCAACAAGATTTTATTAGAGGGATGTGTCGCACCATATAGTTAATAGAAGGGAATGATTTCCCTCTATTAACTATACGACAAAGCTAAGAATTAAGAAACGTTACTCAATAGCAGATATTATGGATGCATGCAAATGAGATGCAAATGAGACAGCAAGCATTGTATCGACCCGATAGCCTCACTTGTATGATTCTTAAGACAAAAGAATATCTCATTGCAGGCTCAACTGTAATAACAGCTATTGTAAGCAAGCGATACACAATCATAACTTCATTCATTAGATGAGAATATCACGTGATATCACAGATGTCACACGGTGCTATGTAGTTGTGTGAAATGCTGAACGTGACGCAATCACAAATTACTTTACAAAAATAAAAATATCGAATCCTCATCATATCTCCAAAAACTCGGATAATAGCTTGGATCACTCAAAAATGTTTAGTGGAATTCTGGACATTTTACTAAACGAGCAATAACAATACGATCCAGATAAATGTCTTTGCTACATACTTTTAGTGTGTCTTACCTCATCCTTACTGGCGTGCCACACTGCAGGAGGCTGGTTGTCGGACCTTTTTAGCGCAAACTTGTACACCATGTAACCACTCAAACCTACTGACTGCCAGTACTTCTCCACGGTATACAAACCTGTAAAAACAATAAATGCCGACTGATAAGGTAAAAGATACGTCAAAACACGTGTATTTTGCCATCCATGGTAGAGTCGATGGTTGGTTCTCTCTCAATTGTTGGTAGGGTTTTTGTCAGAGTCCTCCGATTTTCTGGACCCCTCCACAGAAATCATCTGCGCAGTTTGCGTATTTGACCATATTTAGGCCCTCCTTCTCCTGTTCTCCACTCAGGTTAATCATATCAGTGAATAAAAATTGCGCAATATTAGTAATATGCAATACCATCGTATCTGTAGCCCTCTTCTGGTGCAAATGGACTGTCCAACTTGTATCCCCTGATCACTCGCACAGGGCGTCCTTTCTCAACATTTTTTGTGAGAGCCAGGTTTCCTGGGAGAAAATGACATTGACACAATTACAATAATGTGTGGTCACAGGATGAATCTGTATCTCTAATGGATAGGGGGATTAACACAAGGCCCCTTTTACTTGGGAAGTTCCAAACACCCTCCCCTCTGGAATTCTACTTTGCTCAGAGAAGAAGTGGACGATTTTTGGAGCTACACTTCACTAACCCCTTGGTAAGAAAACTGGCCAATAATCAATTTTTTAATGCAACAAAAACTAGCACTAAAGAGGAGAACTCAGAAGTGTACACCCAGTGGTGTAGCAGTGAGTAAATTACTAAAACAAATTGGTTGCATTATTCATTCTCAATTTTGGTCAATTTGTATAATTTACAAGACTTGTCTCCTATCAAGGTAACTGTCTAAAATTAAGATGTTTTCCATTTACACAGCTAATGATATGGAAAAAAGTGTACAATTATTTTGACGTTATTTTACTACCTCGAGTCAAAGTTTGGTCCTTTGATTGAGGGGCTGTGCGAAGATTCTGTAAGAAAATAAAACCAACAATTTAAATGACTGAAGAGTATATTTATTTATGTTTAGCTTGATCAATGATGGAGGCTGTAAATGTTAATTTGAATTATGGAACATGGAGGTTTGTTATGAACTTTTTGTAAAGCAAAGAGTTAATGACTTTATCTCTGTTCTAAGCAGAAACAAAACAATTCCATCAATCAAAACTAGTTGACGTACACCCCATTTCATTCTTGAAATGAGACAAAAATTGAGATGGAATGGTGTAGATTAAAATTCCAATAACAGATTGCCACAACGGAAGCATAGCTGGCATAGCAAATATTGAGAGCAATCACTTCTCATCAAGGCAATCTGGGTTCTACATACAGTCCCACGTAGAAGTTAGAAGAGTTCCTCATGAAAGAAAATGCATCCCTTCTTCATGCCTTGATCAACCCAATATATTTAACTTTAAACCACATTAAAGCTTTTTGATGTTACTTTTACCATTTCAAGACATTTAGTAAAATAATAAAAATTAGTAAAATAAATCTTTTTTCTATAGTGAGATATAAATTTAGTATATGTACGAAAGACCGGCTTCCTAAGTAAAAAGATGGCGTAGCAGTGTGAACGCTCGCCTCTCATCAATGCGATCCGAGTTCGAGTCCCGCTGGGTTCGGTGTTGTATATGAGTAGAGTTGTTTGTTGGTTMTCTCCTGTGCTTCGAGGGTTTTCCAGGTTCTCCGGTTTTCCTCCCTCCACAAAAATCAACTTCTAAATTCCAATTCGAACACGGAATGAGGGCCACAGGTTTGTTAGCCACTGGCTATTAAGTGCTACCCTCGTGAAAAAGGACTTTTTTTTTCCAAATATTATAAACTAAAATGTACTGGGATTATTAAAGATTCAATGGACAGAAGGCAAATTATGAGCTCACTGCTGGGTGTCTTCACATAGTTGATCTGGTCACACAAACATGAAAAGCACATTGACTGTAATTAAGATTTGACTATCTTGTCACCTTAGGATTGGATTTGGTGCCTTTAAGATCTCTTCCACCTTAAAAAGCAATCAGAAATATATTTATCATATATCACTAATAACATTAGTAATTAGCTACACACTATCATGTGTTTTTTTTCAGTAATTATTCAAGATCTAAGGTAGTATTTTCTCTTAATAATACATCTACATAAAATGCACATTTTTGAAGTAAAAAAAATGATAGCATCTGGCACCATTTTTGGATTTCAAACAATAACACACGGTAAAGCATTCCTGGACTGTGCAATTAATTAATACTTGCGCATGCACTGTGCAATTAATTAATTACATAAAATACGCATTTCTGTAAAAAAAATGATAGCATCTGGCACCATTTTTGGATTTCAAACAAATATATTAACACACGGTAAAGCATTCCTGGATATGTGCAATTAGTTAATGCTTGCGCATGCACTGTGCAATTAGTATATGTAATAGGACTCCATGCTGTCCAATTAAGAAATAATTGGATGAGGAAAATCCCGAGGACTGACAAAATTGGATGAGGCTGTAGGCCGAGTCCAATTTGGCAGTCAGAGGAATTTTTCGAGTCTAATTGGAGAGCATGAAATCCCATTACCTATTAATTATATAGCTGCCTAATTAATCCCACATCAACAAGACCTGTCCAATTAAGAAAATATTTGGACAGTTACCTATTGAGATTAATGAGAAGCTGTATAATTAATTAATTGCACAGATTTTTTTAAAGAAACAAATTCATGGCCAATCAACCAATCAGAAACAAGTATTTTATGTAGATGTACACCTGTAGTACTAATTAAGAAATATAATGAATTCGAACAGTGAAAACAAAAAGACAAAAGATGAGAAGAGATAAAGCATGAGCCATAAGCAATATAACATTTATTGAGTGCAGCCTTTATTACTGATCATGAACAGAGCACAGAAAAAAAGCTATATCATTAACAATTTTTTTTCTGCATAATAAATCAAATTTTGATTTATTATGTAGAAAAAAATTGCTGTTTTCTTAAATGCACACTTCTTTGCCTGAAGCTGGGGCTACTGTAAGTGTGAATGGTGTCAGCTTCACCATGCTCTACTCACTAATACAACACAGTTCTTGATCAATCAAAACAGGAATACACTATCTAAGTAATTGATAATTTAGATTAATGTTTAATAATCTAACCTTCACCAGTGTATGTAAAACAGTCTCCATAATCTACGTCATCCTCATAGCCACCTGACAGAGCTAAGGAATAGCATCCCTCTGATGCATTTCCATGGATACCGGCAACAGTGGGCCTATGAAGAAAATGAAATGTAACTTTCAACACATCTTAGCCCATGGGTACATGGCCAGCCTTTACAATCAAACTACATTCAGAGATACAGACTAACAGGAACAGCAATGAGCAAGGATTAGCAAGAGCAAAAACATCTTGAATGGTTAGTTAATTAGGTTGTTGTATTAGAATGGAAAATTCAAGCCTACAAAAACAGATGCCATAGGTGTTGCAGATAACAGACAACATGTCAATATACTTGAGTAAATGTTAGAAACAATACCTGTGGACACCATCTGCAGAACACTCAAGTCTTGTACTCCAGGTTGTACCAACTTCAATACCTGTTCAAAGTGGGAAATACATTTACTCAGTTATTGAACCCCTTAATTCTTTCAAGATTCTTTTAAGTTAACAACACTTCACTTTACCAGGAATTTGTCCAAAGACATTTTCTCTGTTTCTTGGTGTTCTTTTTGGTTTTTCCTCTTCTTCTTCATATTCTTCTTCAAAACTGAGACCCTGAAAATCACTAGGCTCCTAAAATATGTAAATACAGATTAAAAAGGAAATATGTCATTTAGAAGCAAACAMACAATTTGAATTGAAGTTAAATTCAATTTTTTGGGCTTTCAAAGCCCACACTTAGCTACTAGTAGCTCATCCAATCAGAATGCAGCATTGATAATAAACCGCTAGTTCGATTTGACTAAAGATATATAGTAGTAAAAATTGCCAGCTTCAGATTTGACTTTTTTGTTTGCATCTTTAAATTTGACCTACAAAATGGATTTGACTAAAGCAATTTTTTTATTTTTTCACTCCATTTAGCTTGCTCTGTAATCTTCCTCTATGGTTACGCTGGCTTCGCATGTAATCAATTTAGTCGTCTTTTTCAATTTCAACACCATATTCCCTGATGATGTATTTAAGATCTGAAAGCTCAGAAAATAATAAATATATGTAGATGAAACAACAACTGAATATTTGCTAAATATACCTTTATTGCTTGTAGCCTACTGAAATTTTATTGTCCTGATAGACAAACACTTGTAAAGAAACAGTAACTGTTCATTAGAGTAAGGAAGAAGAAGCTACAGTTGTGCTATGAGAAGTAATATAATGCTATTTTCTTTGCACGGCCAGCACTGACAGACAGCTAAAACAGGCGAGTACTATATGTAAATTTTTGAGATAAAAATTTTCAGACCTCATTTGCATTGCAAAACACAGGCATATGTCACGTTAACGTTAGTAGAAAAGTTGGATAAACTTTTATACTAAGAATTCCAAGTCATTACATAAAAGTGGGCAAAATATCCTTCGATTAAGACATTTTGGTATTATCAGCTAAATAAAAATACGAATGTTGGTTGGATAATAAATATTAAATTCAAACAAAGACTTATTAATAGAGGACAAATAAACATGCAGTCATTGTTAGAGAACAGTAAGACTTTATTATATTATATAGTGTTTAGTAAAAATATAAGCTTAAAGCAATACTGGCAGCTTAAGAGCAAAGACTTCTTCATCTTTTGAATTAATCCTAATACAGTTAATGTATTTACCTTTCCCATCAATCGTCCTGAACGCCTTCTGCCATACTTGATTCTCCAGTCTTCTTCACTTGACTGCACAAGCTCACGCGTTTGCACACTGTCTGCAGACGTTCGCTGAGCTTTGCGAGAGTTTTCATTCTCACTGCGTTTTCTTTTAGTTCCTTGTTTAGCCGGTACTTTGCGTTGTGCATTCGAGATTGGAAAGAAGGGCTAGAGGTAGAACAAAAAGACAAACATTCAGCTTTATAGATGGCAAACTTTGGAATTCATTCAATAAATTAACGAAGGATCCAACGCATGCCTGAGATGCGAAGCTGTCAACATCCAAAATAACAAAAATCGTTTCATGTAAGACGCTTCACAGGCCTTACCYTATCTAAACCAAGACTTGCAAGTACTTTCTTGTTTTCTTCTCTATTCTTAAGCATACGCTTTTCATAATCGCTCATAAAACTCATCGTGGAGCGAGATCAAATAAACACCAAGTTGATCTGAGTGCAGATAACAAGCACATGGAARATCTTGACAAGTTGATCGTCTATTAACTCCACGTGCAGAAATACCAAATGATCTGATTGGCTGAATCAACATTGCGTTACAACCCTTCATATGATTGGCTGAAATATGTTCGGGAAAAACCGGAAGCGAATCGGAGAAAAATAATGAAAAATTTAATCCGATTTAGAATACGTGAAAATAAACGTGATAATACGTGAATCGTAAAGCAAAAATATACCAAAAATACGCGAAAAACGTAAAAATCCATCTCAATAATTTAATGAGCAGTCGATGGTTTTATTGTTGAAGCAAATGCTTTAATGAATAAAGCTATTTTTGGTATTTTTTCAACTTGAAGTGGTTAGATAAATTCCCTTAAATCAAGTTCCTGATACAGGTGTTGTTTGAGCGTTGAATAAGCAGGCAGAATAGAGTCAAAAGCTATAGAAGAAGCAAGTCTTAAAGCGTCAAATAGTGAACTAAAAGCTAATAATATTCGATACATTTTTTCAAAAATCCCTTGATTAGGTATCTTATTCAATTTGGAAGTTTAATATTTTGGGGCTTCCTCAACTTTAAGGAAGTCTATTAATACATTTTTTCATTATTAATTTGAATAGATAAATGATTACTAGCTGCTAGCTTAATTTTCCATAATTTTTACTGCTCGAACAGTGGTAAAAATAAAGTTCTAACTTACAGCACGTCCGACATACCGTAACATTGAGATGGCTTCCTGTAAGAATGGTTATCGTACGAGCGGGAAAACAAAGTATTGACTTACAGAATTACACGGCACGACATGCCATTAGATTGACATGGCTTCCCGTAAGAATGGTTATCGGGAAAGATACAGTTATTGACTTATTCAGTACGAATCTCAAGATTGAAATAGCTTCCCTTAAAAATGGTTATGGTATGAGTGGAAAACATACAGTAAGTGACTTACACGGTACGACGTACCGCCATAAACATCGAAATAGCTTCCTTTTTATCCTATTTATATTGAATCGGATATAATAGTAAAGTAGCGCAGCTATCTACCCGCGCCAATGGAGTCCAGTTTACTAGGTATATAGGTATAGCTGAATGGTGTATTTCTATAGGAAATCGCACGATCTCGAGTACAATTCGAAATTGATAGGTACGAAATATGTTTTAATTTGAAAGATTTCAAAATTGGACGAGCCTACGGCATGTTGGACTGCATACGTGCTGCAAGTCATTACCGTACGTTTCCCAGTCATACAAAAATTGTTTGCTCTAACGGCATGTCGTACTGTGTACCAGTGTGTACCTGTAAGTCAGTCAGCATCGTAAGTTTCCCACTTATTAACAAATATATACGTAAGAGGGTAGGGTGGGTGCAGAATCACAATACAATACAATACAATATTTTTTAATTTGGCACTTTTTATCATAAAAGGTACATAAGTGGTGATCGAAATAAATTAAATAAACTAATCTTCATTCATAAGTTGATTTTAGTTTCTCTTGTCAGCATGTATGCTGACACAGTTCTTTGTAGGAACACTGTTTGGGGGTTGATCAGAAATAGGAAACACTCATAAGTGTTCATGTTACTTATTAAGATTTACATATTGGTATTCTTTCCTATTCTTTCCTCTATTAATTTGTTTTCTACGCCGGAGAGTCATAAGAAAATGTTTTTCATTCTCTATTCGATCCCGAGTTGCATACTTGGTAAATCCCTTCTTAATCATAAATCAGGTAAAGCCTTCGATACCCCCC